TAAGCTATACTGATAAATTGAACATTAAATGTATGTTATTTATATACAAATTTATATATCTAGCAGCACTAGGAAAGTAGGGTGAATTCATCTATTTATGCTGTGGCTATACTGTCAACTTGAGTTGTCAGGAAAATCACTAGCATTTCACCAGACACCTACTGCCTGGGAGTGAAACAGGGCAGGGGAGGAGTGGCAGCACGGAGCTCCATTCCCGGCACAGAGGAAGCAGATCGTCTGCCGCACATGCAGGACACACTGCTGAAGAGAAAAGACACACAGCACATCTCTTCTTTGCTTCTGAGCAAAAGGCTACAGGCCAACAGCTTCTGGTTGCCAGAACATGCCAGAAAAATGAGTGGCTTATACTTAGACTAAACCTTACCATTTATAAAGGAGTGGAGACAGAAATATGAATGATCAATTACACAACATTGTTACAAGACCACTCAGTAGTAAAGTCTTATTGCCAGCACAGGAGAGTGAGAACTTTTAACTGAAACCCATGACTAAGTGTAAGGCTTGGCACTAGTGATGTTCCTACATAGAACCTCCGCTCACTTCACTGCTAGGAGTCAAAGCAGCTAGCTGAGCAGCTACAGGGTGCATGACAGCGTAACAGGACAGTACCAAATCAAGAGATGGTCTTGCCTGTCACTGCTTAGGCACCCACCTTGTATCTTAACAGTACAAGTGTTTCGCTTTATAGCAACTAAATCAAACCTTTACCCTCACGGCAAAAAAGATCATTCTTTCTGAACCATGTGTCACCATCATCTCAAAAGGACTTCTGTGAAAACTCACTATTGACCAAAACACTAGTTCTTCTATTATTAACCAATATAAATCTGAGAAAATTATTCTAAAAACATTTATTCTCAATACCATTTTTAACTACTGTAGGTTTAATAGGTTTAAAAGTTAACTGTTTAACTCATTATTTGGTTATAAGTCCTCAATACTAGGGCAAAGAAAGACTTCGGTATATCAAGACAGTATGTGAGATAAACCAAGCGCTATACAACAGATCAGAAAATACTGAAATAAAGAGCAGGCTACAGAGCAATGAAGACAAGAAAACCAGAAGAGTGCCTGGAAACTCTTCTTAGGAGATGAGCAAGTCTGCAGATAATGAAGCCTAAAAGCTTCATTTTACTAAACTTTTAATACTAGGTATTAGCCACTTTAGCCTCTATTCTTTAGCCTCTATTTGTTAACAAATCTATTCTTCCTGCTTAACATTAAACTAGGAGTTAGCAGGCTGGACCTTACTTCCTAGAGAGGGGCTTATGCCAGCTGACAGCCCAGATGCCTCAAGTTCTGGAATTTAAAGAATGTGACTGTCTACCTTTACAGTTTTGTTTTGTTTCATTGTATGTACACTGTGTTCTGCCTCCATGGATGTCTGTGTGAGGGTGTTAGATCCTTTGAAACTGGAATTACAGACAGTTATGAACTACCATGTGGGTTCTGGGAACTGAACCCAGGTCCTTGAGAAGAGCAGTACTCTTAACCAATGAGCCATCTCTCCAGCCCCTGCTGCTAAAGATAACAATCTGTTCACATCTGGCTCACACAGGGATTTGTCACAGCTTGAAAGTTTGCTTTTATTATTACTACTTGGAACATCTGCGCACGAACAAGGCTCTGCAGTCACATACTTCAACAGAAATGGTCTTGTGCAAATCTCTCAACATAAACCTAGAGAATGGTGAGGTGTTACTACTAGAAACCTATGTGGTCCCTTTCCACTCACACCTCCACAAATGGAGCTGTGAAAGGGAATAAGGCATGAGGGAGGAAGCCATCTTAGTACTACACTAGCAGCCAAAGTAGACCTAATTCTCTAGTGAGCAATGACAAAGCTTATTTATTTGGTGGAAAATAAGGCTCATCTGTAGATTGCACTAAATGATATTCGGAAATGAGAAGATCATGCACCCAGAATAAGACAGACTCCTGATGTAGGAATTTAAGGATTCTTAACGATCCTGGACAAGGCTTTTAACCTCACACTCAGAGAACCCATAACTCCATGGATCTATTCTTAAATGGGAAGTTTCACAAAGTGAAGGATCTCTGATCTTTTTTTTTTTTTTTTTTTTTTGGTTTTTCGAGACTTGGTTTCTCTGTGCAGCCCTGGCTGTCCTGGAACTCATTCTGTAGACCAGGCTGGCCTTGAACTAAGAAATAAATCCGCCTGCCTCTGCCTCCCAAGTGCTGGGACTAAAGGTGTCCGCCACCACTGTCCAGCTTCTCTGATCATTTCTTATGGTGACACCTGTAAGAGACAGGACTACCCAGGCCATCCTCTTTGTGCAAGATAATGGATCCTTTGAGCAGGTGAAAAGGAAGCCCTGGAAATAAGATCCACTGAATTTGAGTCAAAGACAGGCGCTATTACTTGATGCTTCTCTAAAAACAAAAGCAATCACTTCCTAGAAAGAATAGCTGGGAGAGATCAGCCCAGTTGTTTATTCTTGGGATGGCAGGACACAATCTTCTGAGAAAAAAGAGAAACCTGAAATCCCACAGAAAAGCCAGCAACCATTCTTCAGGCCACTGCGCAAAAAAAAAAAAAAAAAAAAAAAAGCCCTTCTTTCCAGATCCAAACAAGAACTGCCTGGGAAGACAAAGCATCTACAAGTGGCTATCACTCAGAGGTTAACTACTTCTCACCTACCTCTGTAGAGCAACAGCCTCATCTACCTCACATTTACTTTTAGCCACTATTTTAGGCAATGCAATCTTGGTCAATTCCAAAGCTTAGCTTGGACAAACACAAAAATACATGTGTAAATGTCTACAGACCCACAGCAACGTTTAGGACTCATATGCATGTGAATGATGAACATTTTGCTAGTCTAAGATCATGTAACATTCCAGGAACAATTACTGTAATGACTTATAAAGACTGGTCCCCTGAAATGAGGCTGCCATCACATACTTATTCAAGCACATTATCTATCACTGGGAAGCAGTAAGGAAGACAAGCTTTAGGGACTTCAGACTAAATAAAGTGATGTTCACACTGTTAAGAATAAACATCTACTGCATATACTAAGTCATTCCTTATTTATGAACATTAGTTCTCTAAACTTGACCTACGGCTATTTACACACAGACAGACACATGATATATCTTACTATAAGTCAACAAAAAGGGGGTAAGAGGATTCTAGCATTCCAAATTATTAGGACTCAACACTAAATAAAAGGGAGAAATTCACATAATAAATACCTCCTATTCACTTAAGCTATCCATACGAAGATGAGGAAGACCACTTGGCCAATGTGTCAATTTCTGCTAACTTGCATAGGAATGTGTTCAAAGGAAATGTTAATTCCTACAACTTAATCCAAATTTGGACAACCCAAGATTCTACAACTTTCTCAAAGCCTGAAAGGTTATCTCAAAAAGAAGAATTGTTTAAGGAAAGATAGCCACAAACCAGATATCCATCCAAACACATGGGCAAGCTCTGAGTCCGCATTTAGAGACCCGACTTCTCAATTCTCCATCCAAGAGAAGGACAGCCCCTATCTACTTGGCTCCAGGTTATAAATCTCAAAATAGAAACTGAGAGAAAAACTGTACAAGGCACTCTAAGTTCTTCAGAAATGCATGCTATTCATACAGAGATGACCTTTTCCATTTACAGACTCAGTCCCTCAGAAAACCTCCAGAAGATAGGAAGACTGTGTGTGACAATCCCTAATGGCAGCACTGGACTCATGAAGTCCATCATCTGCAAACAAGTTGATACATTACAAAAAAAGGCGGGGAGGGTCCCTTTTTTTGCTTTTTTTTTTAAAGTTACCAGGACTGAGTTTGATTGAAAAGCTATAAAATGATCTATAAAAGTAATAATTCTCCTTAAGTACAAGGCTTAATAAAAGTCATGCAATTTTAAAAGATATCAGCTTAAAGAAAGTAGGTACAGAATTCACTTTCTTCATCTCTAATGGAGGAAAAGAGGCAGTGTTGAAGACATAGGACTACACACATCATCCTTAGAATTTTTCTTGAATTCCTTCTGCACTATCTTCAATAAGGAGAAACAGCCTATCAAAAAGATCTGCTGCCCATGGATGTTGCAACTGGATACCTAGCTAAGATAAGGTCGATATCACGAGTCCTCCACAAGTGTAATATCCCCAACAAGCACACTGCTAAACCCTCAAGTCCCTGTTCGGGGCAACCTAGGAACATCCTACAGAAAACCTATACTCATCAATAGTAAGACTGCTGATTATTTTTTGACTGACAGACAGTTTATAATGAAACATACTTCTCATGTACTGACTGTAACAGCATAGATGTATTGCACAGCAAATCTTCAAAAAAGACAGACACAAGGAAGAGAATTTATAAAGAATGCAGTACGATATCAGAATTAGACTGTTCCTCTAAAACTTAAAAGTGTTTCACAAACTAAGCAAGTGCCAATCCCAGGACATAAGTAGTGTCGACTCTCCTCCATGATACTGGACGTCTTAGAACTGGACCCATTTGGGAAGGCATTTGGCAAATAAGGAATGTTACAAAATGACAAGGAGGCAGCTAGAAAGCAGGTAGAGAAACGATTCATCATCTGTTTAGCAGTACATTTATCAGTCATTGCATGATAGCTGGTAATTCTCAAACTATATTTTAAAATATCCTTATCTGATCAATAAATGTGGGGATGGGTCAGCAGCAGCATTTACTTCCCTCCTAATTAAAAGCAAAATTATAGACAGACTTGGTCAGTTAAGTATGGTTCAGTTTAAGTAGTAAAAAAAATAGAGGGAGGGGATGGAAACAAGGTCTTCTCCAAACTGGTTGCTAACATTTCCATAACAAGTGGTACAAAAAGACCTACAGGAAAACACTCTTCCTTTCTCTTGACAAGCAGAATCCATAAACTCATGCTAACGACCAGCCACACACACAACTGTCCTCAAGTCATCACTACACAACACATTAGATTTCCAGGACGTAACTAATCATACAGTCTCTACGAATTCAATTTTTTAATTATAGCAGGGATTAGAGACAAAAATCTTATAAATGAGCAAATTTACTTCAGCATAAGGTCTACCGAGACTTGGCAATGTAGACAAGACACTTTACTCATGATACCTTAGCACATGTTCTGTCCTAAGTGACATATGAGAATAATTGGTCTCTCCTTACTTTGGTACGGAAAACTCTAAAATCACATTTTTTTTTCACAATTCATTCTGCTTTGTTTCATGTAAGTTGAAGATTTGCTTTTCCTCCATCTCTGGGAAAATAGTCTTGCAAATAGATGATTTTTCTACTAAGTAGAATTTGGCTAAAACCTTCAGCGTAAACAATGCCTGAGAGGTGCAACAGTTACATTTTTGTTTGCAAAGACCAGTATTTTCTCTTAAGTGTCTCACCATATCCTTAAGTTCATAAGGAGAAATAAACAAACATGAAAATTCCAAGGGAACACACAGCAAAAAGTCCAATGTTTAGTATCACTTTAACTTGTGGAGTCTCTTCTAACATTTGTAAACAAACAGCCTCTTCATCCATCAAGTCTCTGAGACTCCTCTTGCTAAGGCTTTTACTTTTAAAGCCACAAAACCAGTCTATGAACTTCCAATACCGGCTTCTATTTTCTGTTTCCTTCTCTCTCTCTCTCTCACCCATGAGAGCTGCTTGCCCATTGGAATAAGCATCTACTGGTGTTTCTGCCTCTGAATGACCCGTGGAAGCCACTGGGTTGCCCTCTTCTCGGCATGTCACCAACAGATTGACGTCTTCAGGTTGGAGTCCCTTGATGCTGTCTTCAGACTTCCCATTGGGAACAGTGTGGCTGATGACATCACTATTCTCACTGCACCGCAGGATACTCTTCTCTTGCATTCTGTATGGCTCATCTTTCTGAGAGCAGCTCTCCTTTGTCACCAGGGTCTTCTTGGACCAAAAGGTAGTAGTACGAATCTGATCCTTTGTGGGAGGTGGTGTGAGAAGACTAACAATTACAGTAATGAGTCCTGTGATCCAAAATAATGCTGTAGCCACATACATATAATGGACGTCTTTGATGAAGCCTGGCCTGTTATCAGGTTGGTCACACTCAGGAGCACGGTAGGTAAAAGCCAGTATCAAACGGACAGCTCCAAGAGCAAAGCCTGCCATTCCACCATAGAAAGCCCCTTGCTCATTGCAGCGTTTCCAGAAAATTGCCAGAAGAAAGAGGGCCGCTACGGGAGGGGTCAGATAATCTGCCACCTCCTGAATGTAAAGGTACATTTGGCCTCCTTGCATCTCCACAATAATTGGCACCCATGCTATGCTGATGACAACCATAAAAGCTACAAATATCCTGCCCACAATCATTAGTTCCCGGGAGCTTGCACTCTTGCGGATAAGTTTGTATACATCGAGGGTGAATATAGTACTGGCGCTGTTAAAGATGGAGTCCAAGTCACTCATCAGAGCTGCAATCATCACTGCCATCATTAGGCCTCGAAGGCCCACAGGAACCAACATCATCACCAGGCGTGGGTAAGCAATATTGGAGCACCCAGCTCTGCTTCCACACACTTGCATACAGTGTTCTGGGTTGATGCAAGCTATCTCATTAACAAACAGTATCCTGGAAATCATTCCTGGTACAACTATGATAAACATTGGTAGAAGCTTCAAGAAGCCAGCCATTAGAGTAGAGCCTTTGGCATGAGCAATGTTTTTGGCTGCTAGAACCCTCTGCACGATGACTTGGTCAGCACACCAGTACCATACTGAGGCTGGGGTCTGCCCAAGAATGAATCCAGGCCATGGAACATCTTCATCTGTTGGATCTCTCAACATTTTTAGGGCATTCGCCTTAGGATGGACCATACAAGAATTTGTGTTGGAAAGGTTGTATGACAACAAAATGGAAGCAACATTGGGTGAGGCCAACATGTACCTTCTCTTAACTTCCTCAAACCCTCCAATTTTTGTTATGCTAATAACCATAAGTGTGAGTGCCCCAATGATCATGAGCAGAGCCTGCAGAGTGTCTGTGTAGATCACTGCAACAAGGCCTCCGGTGACAGTCAGCAGGGCAGTCATGCCAATGAGCAGGATAACAGACACATAAAGGTTCCAGCCCAAGGACTCCTGGATAAAGAGGGCGCCTGAGTACAGATCCACTGAAAGCTTGGTGAAGATATAGAGAAGCAGAGACAATGCTGCAAAATAGACCTGAATCCTATGGCCACCGAATCTCTTGGACAAATATTCAGGCATGGTATATACCCCTGACCGGATGTAAATAGGGATGAAAACCCATCCCAGAAGTTGCAAGAGCAGTAAGGCATTGAATTCCCACGCGCCCACTGCAAATCCACTTGCTGCTCCAGATCCTGCCAGCCCAATGAAGTGTTCACTCCCAATATTGCTCACAAACAGAGAGGCACCAATTGCCACCCAGGTCATAGAGCGCCCGGCCAGGAAGTATCCACTCACTGTGCTTCTATTAGATTTCCACATGGCAAAAAAACCAATGCACATGACCAGGATAAAATACAGGGCCACTACGGCAATGTCTGCTGTCTCCAGTACAGCCCTCATTCTGGTAACTTGTGAATGAAACGTCCGAATGACAGAAGTGTCCAGTTTTTTTATTTACTTATTAGTAACCCCAGCCAAGTCTGTAAACCATGCGTGCACTGGACTACACAGAGCAACACAGCAGTTCAAAGTCTTTGTCCTTTAGTTTGCTGTCTTGATGGTGGTGGCAGTGATAAACTTGGAAGGAGACAGTTTACATTTCCTCCGCTTCTCAATTGGGATTGAGAACTTAGCTTGTACTCTTAATCCACTCTCCACAAGACCATCAGCATTTACTCAGGTGCTGGAGGAGAAATTCTGAGTTGCAGCTAAGTCTAGTGAAGCCTATTGTACCAACCCTGCAAGGCAGCAAAGACAAAAGACAAAGATTGAATTAGAGGAGTATCTCACCGAGCGATGAGGAAACTTTCAATCGAGCAAACATGGCGCAACATTTGTTATAAAAAGAAAAACACGTTTATAATACATTTTAATAACTATAGCAAAGCACAATCAATTCTGTCACAGAGGATAGAGATAGCAACCATTGTTCTGAGCTAAAAACTTAAGACTTACTGGATTCCATCTGCTAACCACGTGCATAATCCTTTCTTGTCGCATTATAGCAGTCTCAGCTCAAAACAGGAATGGAAACCTTAAAGCACCATAAGGGGGCACGGGACACTAAATTTTCCTAACAAATCAAAAACAGAATTTCAAATATTATAAATCCTTGCAGTCCTGGGGGAAGAGGACTAACATTATGGCTACCTAGAGTCCTAGATGCAGGGACATTTACCAGGTGTTAGCATCTGTCTGGAGAAGTTAACTGTTCCTACAGTCAATGTACAGTTATAAGGAAACCTACAATTATGAACGGCTACTGAGAAACAAGATACCCTACATAAAAGAGCTACAACACACAACTTCCCACACCGTACACTGCCCACATGACACTTTTCTGCTAGGGAGCTGTTGGAAGGAACAGAGAGAAAACTTTAGAAGTAACAACATCTTTCTCTTCCTTCTTCCCTTTTTCAGGTAATAATTCCAAAACAAAACCTAAGACGAGAAAAGCACTGCACTCAAGGTTTGATCTTATAGAATATTTTCAATACTGTGATGTGTCTAATTCTTTCTTCTTGAATGAAAAGCAAAGAGAGACGATGTTCTGGAAGAATGAATAATTGTTATTCTTCTTCCAAACCCGAACAAAACAGTTGTCAACGATTAAATCATCTTCAATTAAATCCATCTGACATTTTCAGTTCTGGATTAGGATGATCACTCTGTAAAACACACATTTAAATGTAACTACAATCAAATTATAAAGCTGATGGTTCTCCAATTAGTAAAGAAACAAATCCAAAATCTTCAGTTAATGATAAACAGCTGACAGATCATTAAGAATACTGTTATTATTCAAAATAATATTGCCACATGTTAAGATCTAAGTGACTGGTGCTTACTGCTGAAGAAACGTCAAAATCAACAGTTTCCCAAGCTTGAAAAAAATTGCTTCTATAAATCTAGGTATTTTGTTTTTAAAAATTAATAGTAAACTTAGGAGCTATAAATAAAATAAGGCCATCTTTTCTTAAAATAGCTTGAAATAAAACTGTACTGTTAAAAACTTGAGCACACTAAATAAATAAAATAACCAATAAAAAACAAAAACAAGAAACTTGAACACACTCTCACCAGGAAGAAGAGAGTAATTTCCTAAAGATCAGAGCCCTACTCACTCGTCAGGTCTAATCCACACCACTCCCTAAAGAATGGCACTCTGTCATCTCAGCACCCTTTTACATAGCACACAATAATTACACCTACATTAAAAAAAAAAAAACCTGCAAATAAAAAAATCCACATTAAAAGCCTGCCTCCTGAAAGTCATGTTAGTGATCAGAGACTGCCAAAAGCAAAAGCCAAAAGCAAAAAACAAAACAAAATATCAACTTAAGTATACATTTGTATCATTACTTCATACTTGCCAAATCCTGAAGATATTTTATAACTGCTTTCTTAAGTCTCCAAATCTTTCAGATTTAACAAAAATAAATCAAAACAAACAAAAAAACCTTCCAAATTATTTAGGAAGAACTCTCCAAAAGTTTAGTAAGCTCTGAGATGACTAATAAGCCTATTTATGTAGAAAATCTTAATAGCTTTAAATGTTTCAATATAAAGAGCCATCCTCAGTCACAGTGGAGGTCAGTCATGAGACCTGCCTTTAGTGGAGATACCCTTTGACTCAAGGACCACTTGAGTCACCTTGTTCACGTTCCAAGGTAAACCCTTGCCGGTTCCAAGGACCTTCACATAAAGCTCTTCTTAGTAAAAGTTTGGGGGGGGGGGGACACGACTGGAGATGGCTCAGCGGTTAAGAGCACCATCTGCTCTTCTAGAGGTCCTAAGTTCAATTCCCAGCAACCACATAGTGGCTCACAATCATCTGTTATGGGATCTGATGCCCTCTCCTAGTGTGTCTGAAGACAGCTTGTGTGCTTGTGTGTGTGTGTGTGTGTGTGTGTGTGTGTGTGTGTAATAAATCTTAAAAAAATATGGGAGTTTAGAATTTAGAAGAGGAGGAGGAGTGGAAGAGGAGGAAGAGGAGGAGGAGGAGGAGGAGGAAGAGGAAGAGGAGGTAGTTTAGCATGTTTTCCAAAGGCTGAGAAATCTGGAGGGAGGAGGGGATCTGTTTCTGACCACTGCTGATGTAACAGCTTATGTGTTCACAAACAAAGTACTCAAAAGCAAAGGAGACATTTCCTGTTTCTATCACTAGAAATCAGTGCTAGGACCATCACTTTCTGTCAATCACTCATGGCACCAGCTAAGTCACATTCTGCTTTCTGTAGAATGTTCCACCTGGCTGAAGTTCCCATAGAAGGTCTGAGTCCGAATTTCCTTAGATCTGCCATCACAGAAAATAGAGCAGCCAAATTTGAGATCAGAGCTGTCCAAGGCTGGCCACAGGGACATGCCTGTAATCCCAGCACTCAGGATGCTGAGGCAAAGGACTGCTTCAGTCCCAGGCCTGCCTGGGCTACTGTGAGACTATCTCAAAAAAAAACCAGAAAGTGTTTGTCTTCTTTCTTTGGGTCCTTCCAAAGCCACTGCTGAAAGCAGCTTCTCACCATACACTGTAATAGCCTGTAGGTATGTTTTTAGAGTTTTCTAACTTAAAGTACATACAGGGATTAATACTTCCTAAAGATTTCAAAATAGAAAATAGTAACCAAAACAGGTCACTTCAGATTGTACAAAGATATATGAACTACAGTACAATGATGGTACACTTCAGTCACGAACAGACATTATCGAAGCCCTGAATTTCAGCCTCTCAAGACTATTTCACATTTCTTTAAGTGGAGTGTGGGGTCCTAAATAAAATATACAGTAAGTTTTGTATATTTTTTATGTTTAAGAAGAGAACAACTCTTCAACAAAAGCACAATGAGCAAGAGAGGTCCAGAGTTCCTTTATTTAGGAAGAATACACATGGAAACACCTCCATCTGACATGCAATATTTTAAACTGTGTTTTATCTTCATAAGCCTTCTTTCACAATTAATAGTTTTGATATAACTCTTTTTTTTTTTAAGAAAAACATTTCCAGAAAAGAAATATGTGGAGTTTACAAAAATGGTCCCCCATAATAAGCAGATTCATGCTAATTTCAAACACAAATGTGTTTCGAAATAGCAAGAATTTCCCCACTAAAATCATGGGTAATATGTTACTTATAGTTTCACACTAAGTCAGATTTGTTGGTCATGCATTTAAATAAACTAAATCCACAGACAGAAGAGAAATGCACATGGTGCTGTGTCTGATCAACAAGAAAGAGAAGAAAAGGTAAATCAACTATGAACTCCTTTAGGTGTTAAAAACACAATTATGAAAATAGAGCTAGTTAAACACTAAAGCTACTGTCTAGAATGACTATTTTTTACACACCAATCCAGAAAATTATCTGTAATAATCTATAAAACCCAGGTTGAATATATCTAAAAAGAAAGGCCACATGTCATAAAAACCAAACAAGCAAAAAGGAAAATAGTCACTGAGCTCAGTTTGCAATTTCAAGATATATGTGAACTAACAGAGCATCAAGTAGTGGTTCTCAACCTGTGAGTAGCAACCCCTTCAGGGCATGGGGTCAACTATCCTTTCACACTGTCACCTAAGACCATCCTGTACATCAGATATCTACATTATGTTTTGTAATAGCAGCAAGATCACAGTTATGAAGTAGCATCAAAAACAATTTTATGGTTCAGGTCATCACAACATGAGGAACTGTATTAAGGGTTGCAACATTAAGAAGGCTGAGAACTGCTGACATAGCTCATGTTGACCCTAAAAGTGACCAACTGACTGTCCTTAACTTTAGGGTAACCTGCACAGGGCCCCAGCACTGTCAGTGGTAGGCCTAGCAAGTCAAGACCATGTAGTAACTGAAATGAAAAATACTCAGGATCTGGTAATTTAAGGGTCACAAAAGAGACCTCTAGAAGTCTCCTGTGATCACCTCAGTGTCCCAAGAGCATACGTGAGGTTTCCTTTGTCTCCACCACAAAGCCACAGACAACACAGGTTAACACCAGATTGCATGATCCAGCAAAGCAGTAGGTATGAGCTACCTGGACAAAGGTGCAGGTCCTTTATTACAGCAGAGAATAGTGACTCTCTCAAGAGCAGGACTTGAAGATCTGTTACTTCTTAATTACATTATATCTCTGTGAATGTCAAGTGTGATATGCAGCCATTGCCTAGATCATAGGGGCATTACCAACATGAAGAAAGTTCTTAATACTGCCCCTCAACAACAGGGTGGTGGCTCGCCTCAATTCACTCTCTCTAGCCTGAACAGACTGGGAATGATGACTCTGCCCTTTGAGATTTACCTGTTGACTGTGTGCAAGGGGTTTTAGGACCTTCACAAATATTTTTTACATACAGAACAAGTGGGTGAAATTAGACAATGTATTCAGAGTGTCCAATTCACTTACAAATGTCTTAAAGAGTTTCCCTATCACTCCATCAACTTATATCATTCTTTTGAGGAAACACCAAAACTTATGTCATCTTAGACTTCTCATACACATTTTCACTTTATGTCATCTTGAGTCAAAGTCCAGAAATGAAAATTCTGCGAGTGAAATAATTAATGATTGTTGATGCAAAGTATTAAGTACTCACATGGCCGTCTTCTAATTTTACTTTTAAAGAGGCAGAATGCATATATAATACAGTTTACCAGAGACACTTAAAAGCAAAAGCAAGGGCCGGGCGGTGGTGGCGCACGCCTTTAATCCCAGCACTCGGGAGGCAGAGGCAGGCGGATTTCTGAGTTCGAGGCCAGCCTGGTCTACAGAGTGAGTTCCAGGACAGCCCGGGCTATACAGAGAAACCCTGTCTCGAAAAACCAAAAAAAAAAAAAAAAGCAAAAGCAAATTTCTTAATACAATTGACATGGATTTCAGCTAATTATGAGTACAGTTAAAGACAATGCTATATTAAAACTGAAATTTTAAAACCCTCATGATCATCATAATGACAGTTATTGTGATCATTTTTTACATAAAAAAAAACCAAAAGAGTTATTACCTTGCCCCAGAATCTAGTTGTGTGTGAGGCAGAATCTCAATAAAAAAAGGTCTTTCTGTACTGACAGGCAAAAATACTAACTAATGATAAATTTCTTTAAAAAAAACAAACACCTCCACACATCATTCATGTTTAAAAATTTGTTTGCAAGCTAGGCATGATAGCACACCCCTGTAACCCTAGGAAGGCTGAAGCAGAAGGATCACAAGTTTGAGGCCAGCCCAGGCTACGTAAAGACCAGCTCAAAAGAAACAATTTTGAGTGGCCAGATCATCCTCATGGTAGACACACAGAGAATATGAACAGAGCACTGCAAAGGGCACATGTAACAAAATCCAACTCAAGTATTTAAGTGCAATCATACGTAAGTGAATATGTGGAGAAAATGACACTAAAAACAGAAAGATTGAGGAACATGTAGTTCAGTGTCAGAGTGTTGCCTAACACATACAAGAGCCTGTGTGATCCCACACTCAAGACCGGCCCTAATCTCCACTTCAGTATCTGTCTCCTGTCCACCTCAAGCCCTCCAGCCTGCCTTCCTTCCTTCCTTCCACATCACCATCCAATATACATGACATGACTGCAACTCGACACTACCCTAAGCAAGCTCTCCAGTGTCTTTTACACAGTTTTCATTCACGAATACTGCACTGAGATGGCTGAAGTTCAGATCTCCTGCACAATCACCAATCTTGCACGGCTCCTTAAGCAGTCTGAGATGGCAGATT